AGGACAACAAAACTGGAGGGGTCTTTAGAAATCTCAAGGTCTGGAGATACTGAGAAATTTGTCTTCTTAGGTAGCTGTGGCAGAGATGAGCTGAATGCTCTGGTTTGTTCAGTGCTGCCTTTAGACTGAGGAAGTTCCATGTGGTTAATATTATAACTCACAAAGTGTTGAGCCCCAAAGCTGGAAGTTGAAGCACTTCTCCTGGGCAGAATACCTTCTGGTATGGTGGTTCCAGGCACTCTTAGCTATGAGAATGAGCCCTTCTTGAACAAAGTTTCACTTTGCACAAAGGAGAAATTTCCTTTGCCATATTTTGGAAGTTCTAAAATTTCTTGGATACAGTCTGGCAAATAGAATTTCTATAATCTGAAACTTTATTCAAAGTCTATTTGGCAAAAAAATTTATGTTTGTATTGCCCATATTTAATAATAATTTTTTTCTTCCCCTCTTCTATTTTTCCTTACAATTAAGAAAGGCATGTGCTTTGAAATGGCCACATGGCATGAAATTAAAAATTTTAGCAAGGATTAGAAAGGGAAGACAGACTGTCTGGTTTCCTTTAGGTGCACTGTACTAGTTGCCCTGGCTTCTTTGCTATGGTCATACTTTTCAGATTTAGAACATGGATGAACTTGAATTGTTCCCTTTGCAAGCTCAGAAGCCTGCAAATGATGGAACAATCACATATTCAGAAGGATCTGAGACACTCTTTCAGTCGAAAAAAATACAACAACAACTCTATATTGTGTTTGATACTCGTCACAAATTAGAAAAACTGAATAGAATAATGTCTGAAAAAGAGGAAAGGGTATATATCAGAGGTTGACATTAAGCCTTGTCCAATAGATATTTTAGCACATAGCCTCAAAATATGGGAAACAAGTAATATAAAGCCAACTTATTAAAAATAATATCTAATTCAAAACAACAACTATTTGTCAAAGAAATATTTGGCYTTTAAAGAAGAATAGGGCATAAGTGCAAATTGATAAATTTGGTTCTTTATTGTTGTCTGATGGATATTACTCTGTACACCAGGGTGTGCTAGCCATCCGATGTAAATATGGATGAAAATTTATTTTCTGGTTGATTGGGAATGTGTACATCTTTTGGTGGATGTGGGTAACAGATGTCTTGTGGGTAACAGATGTCTTGGCTTTTACAGACTAATTGGCAAAGAGGGAGTAAAAGGGAGATAATTAAAGGGGTGGGAGTAGACACAAGAAAAGTGCAATCTTCCTTGTGGGGAAAAATCTAATAGACCTCTTTATTATGGGTAATTGCCTCTTCTTCAACCTCATTTGCTATCCCTTTCCATATGACTCAAGTACATTGCAATGAGAAAGTATAAAATAAAGAATAATAAGGCAGGACAACTGTCTGCTAACAACCAGATTTATCCTGTCATGGAATATTCTAATATAATTGACTCAATTAACATCTGATTTCTAAAAAACAATATGAAAGCAAAATCTCATTGTCAAGGCCACTTAAATTTTAATACAAGATAGAATTTTTKAGGATAGTTAAGTAGTTATGTGTCAAATGTGACTACATAGTGGACTAGTGGAAAATGAAAAATGAGAGCCTAAATATGTCATATGTTACTTATAGATCATAGGCCCCATTTGGTTTTCTATTTGTTCTCTGTCCGTGCAATAATACTGCTAATTGACCTGGAATGAATAGGAACATTTAGCAGATGTTGAAAGCCATTATCATTAACAAATCCTCAATTTTGTCAGTGTTTTCCATTGTGCAAGATTTAAAATAAGCTGTCATTCTGTCTTAACTCTATTACCTAGGTCTATATTTTTCTGGATGGTAACTTTTACTTTAAGCTGAAGGAAATTTTTATCACCTATTAAACATTCAGTGAGTATCCACATTACTCCTTGATAAGAACTGTTATGTAATATTTTTATAAGAACCAGTTAGTGCTTGGAAGAGAAAGTATCAGGACAGGTATTTAGATATTTACTTAATACAAATTTAGATAAGCTGAAAGTTAAGATTACTTATTCTAGATGCAAGGCACATGCTACTGACTTTTATTTGACCATATGTCTCACCACAAAATGGACAGGTTGAATTTGTTTAAAAATAGGAACAGTTTTTTAAAAGTTTATTGAAACAATACAGATAAAAAGTCAGTTATCAATTATTAATTAAATATTAATTTCTTTCTGTTGTATAACAATTATATTTTATTCACAGTTGCTTGAAACTCCTGGGCTGGGAGAATTTTTTTTTTTTTAAGAAAATGGCAGCTTTGATGGGATAGAAATAKTGTTGCTTGTGTAGTCTAGAGACTGTTCGATTAAGATGATCATTTGATCTTTTTGAGTCTCATTCATTATCTATCAAGTAGTGATAGTGACAACTCCCATAGCTTCACTGGGAATTATATGCCATGAAGAATGCACATGAATTAGTATATGTTTAGTTGTTGAGTACTTCAGGGTTGTCTTTAGAGAGTGGATCCATATTCCTTGGTTACTTGCCTTGATTTTCTGGCTCAGCTTCTCTTAGAGAAAATTCAAGGACTCTAATGAATCGTGTTACAGATGATTTGAAGTTGTATCACAAGAGTTACTCTTCTTCCCATCTTTAGCACCTTAAATTATAAGGGTGAAGAACAATGAAGGAGGGGAAGTATCTTAATTGTTGAATGTTTTCTATATTTCCATAAATGTAAATTATAGAGTTAGAAAATATATGAGATTTTAAGATTTCTGGATGCACTGTCCCTACTCTGGTTTATTTCCCATTTCCAATGAAAGGCACGAAGGCTCTGTATAGTCAAATAGTTTCTCCAGAGTCAATCAGCAAGTGAGTGACAAGGTAAGTGCTAGAACCTTTCTCTTTCTCTGAATTTTTTCTCTGGACTATCATCAACCATYACTTGCTCTGTGGCCATCTAGGATCTAGTCTGGATCATCAACAGAATGAGAACACTCAACTAACACTTAGCAGAGCAGAGAAATGCATTTCTTTATCATGCTTTTTAAAATAATCTCTATATCCTAAATCATTCAGCCATTCCCTTATGGACTAAACATATATTTTGATTGTTTGTGTAAGACAACTGGCTTTATCCTCTTCAGGCGTAGGAGAGATGGTCCCTATAGTTTTTCCTGTAGGCCAGAAATTGGGCTAAGAGCATTACAWAGATTAACTGATTTATTCTTTATAGCAGCACTATAAGAATTYGTATTTCTTTTTATTATTACCTTTCATAAAATGAACTGGAGGCACAGAGGGACCAAGTAATGCCTATGATYACAAAGCTAGTATAAGCAGGATTTGAAGGCCTTTTTCAGGTTGGAGTTGGAAAATGCTGGAGAGATTCCACTGCCAAAAGACAGTGGGTTAATGAATGCTCTCTATATGAACTCTCATTTATGCAAAAGAACTACCTTAACACATTTTCTAAATCACAAGCTTTTGTACATCTAGCTCTGTGGGATCCAGATCAATACATAATATATAGATCTACTGTAGCATATAACTATTGAAGAAAGAGCATGTTTATTTACATTGGTCAATACTGCAATTAATAAGGTAGTGAGCTTGTTGTGCTGGATCCAATGTTGGTAACAAAATATTTTATTTGGGGATTTGCATTTCCCTTAGGAAATATATATAATAAATATACATATTTATAATATTTCCCTTAGGAAATATTTGCTAAAATATGATCTAAATGGTATTTTATTAGTCAAGAAAAATTACCAAAAAAGAATAATAATAATTTTTAGCTGATTAATCTATAAATTGTTTTCTCTTACATCCCAGTTATATGGGAATATTACTCATTTTGCTCTCATACTGATATTTGAAGTTGAGTGAAAGTCATCATTTATATACCAAATATTTTGTGAATATGAAATCATCCCTAAGTTGATTGATTATCAGTTTAAAGTCTTTAATTTCATTAACAGTGGTTACATGGTAAAATTTTGGATATTCAGATAATTGTAAAGAGGCAGTTAGGATTTACCAAAAAGTTCATCAAAGTAATACAGAAAGCTTATTTAGTGTTGTAGTATTTAGGAATAATCTACTTAGATAAAATTAGACTAAATTCCCCACAATCACTAGACACTTATATTGGCAAATATTTTACACCTAAACAAAGAAATGGTGTACCACTGAGAGAGAGAGAGAGAGAGAGAGAGAGAGAGAGAGAGAGAGAGAGAGAGAGATGTAAAGGGAATATATGTGGACATGAACAGATTAATTTTTAAAAAATCTAATTTTTGAAAGTTTTATTGTTACAGATATATTAAATTCTACTGTTGATGTTCTTTTCTTTATGGAGGAGAGGTTTGCCTTAGAAAGAATTGCCTGAAGGTCATGGTCTATGTTCAAATTACTCCCATTCTAAGATGTATATATTTCTTAGTGAAGAGGGAGAAGTATAATGGCTTATCAATGCCTTAAAGCTACTTTGACAACATCAATAAGGTTAAAATGTCATAGAATACAGAGAATCACAACCATTTTTTTGAGATATAAATTTCTATTGTTAGTTCAGTGTGTAGCAAATGCACTTAAATGGTTAAAGGGGGAAAGGTAAGTGAACAGAACATTGGTTTGTTTGGCTACACAGCTGCCACAACCATACTTTGATGTTCTGTGAGTGATGCTGGACAGCTCCCCTGTTGCTGTGATACTGTTTCCTAGCATTTCATAGGAGCTATTGATTTAGGAACAAACTGATGGAGCTTCAGAAAGATTCAGAGCACAGATAATGAAAATATAGTAGCAGCTGAATAAATTCACAAACACTAGCAATAGTAAATGATAATTGGGTAGCCTACTTAACAAAATACAATATTGAGAGACTGTAAAAGTAGAGCATGTATTTATCAAGTATTGCTTATTTAAACCCTTCTTTAATTTCTATAAAGGTTCAGTTTCTATTCTCAAGTAAAACTAAAGAACTTGCATAATCTCTTTTGCATTTTAAAGCTATTTTCCTTACTCTTTCCAGGATTGAAGTGTGTATGTCTTTTGTGTGACTCTTCAAACTTTACCTGCCAAACAGAAGGAGCATGTTGGGCCTCAGTCATGCTAACCAATGGAAAAGAACAGGTGATCAAATCCTGTGTCTCCCTCCCAGAGTTAAATGCTCAAGTCTTCTGCCATAGTTCCAACAATGTTACCAAAACTGAATGTTGCTTCACAGATTTTTGCAACAATATAACACTACACCTTCCAACAGGTAAGAGGTCTTATTTTTAAAATTCATTTCAAATTTCCTTTTAATCTTGGGAAATTATAAATAGTGGAAATCAAACAGTCTTATTTTTTTAAAATAAGAAAATATGCTTCACTATTCTCTTTTTGTTCTTGACTCATAAAATTCTCTAGAGTCCAGTTGATATTGATTTTTTAAAAAAATATTGCACATCACTGTCAAAACATTGACACTGGCATAACCATTTTGAAAAGATTTGTTCACATAAATTGTCTTTTTTGAAGTGAGTAATGGACCTAAAATAAAATGTAAGTTTTTATGAATTTTTCTAAAGGAAAAGAATTGAGGAACATTGATATGTATACAAATAAAAGAAAGACAAAGGAAAGAAACAATGAGCACAAATCTAATCTCTGACAGAAAATAGATAACTATTTTAGCCCTAGTGGAAGTGAGGATGGACAGAGAACATTTTGGGATAATTGAGATGCAGTGGTGGTTATATGGTCATATGTATGTGTAAAAACTCACCAAACTGAAAAATATAATATGTATGCACTTTGTTATATGGAGATTATGCCTCAATTGAGTGGATTTTCAAAGAAGAAAGACTGATTTTTGACTAAATTTAAGGGTAGAACATGGACTCAGATAGAATTCATTGTAAATACTTAATCAGAGTTCATAGACTGGGAAGGACTTGCATTTTAGATGCTCTAAGTACCTTTTATTTTTCCAGCCACATAGGTAGTATTTTGTTCTTTTGTTACAAAGTACTGTCTTGTACCCATACTGACTGGCAGAACATGGTCTTGTGGATAATTTGTTATTGAGATGACACATTAAAGAGACTCTTGACACAGCTGATGAAAGGACTTCCCTTCATATTTCCTTATGTTTTGTACTTAGTTATGGATAAGATCAGAACAGTAGAACTAAAAAAAAAAAATAGAAAAAAACCCATTCCACATTCATGGATTAAAAAATTCAATATTGTTAATATGAGTATCCTCTTCAAATTAATCTATATATTCAGCTCAATCTAAACAATGAATTTYTGGCCCAAGGAGAAACTGGGGAAAAAACCATAAACAAAGAAAAATGTTCATGATAGATCTCAGAGAACCACCAAATAAAGAAATATATGGAATGTGAGGCAGAGAGAATAGGGCAATCTAAAAACCAAGATTGCACGTAGATTTAAGGAATGAAAGGGGCCAAGCATAACTTTTGAGGTTGTATATATAAGATAATGTCTTAGAACAGTATTTCCTAAGAGTGAGACAAGTACCAGTTGTGGTATATGAAAAGATTTTAAGAATTTTCAAGCTGAGTAGGCATGGCAAACACATGTGATATTGAATTTTATATGTGCACACTKAAATGTGTATTAAAATACCACACTGAACCCCATTAATACGTACAATTAATATTTGCTAATTAAAAATTTTTAGAAATTTTTGGAAAAAACACTAAATAATATTAATTACATGATGATATCTTCTCTAATTTTCTTAGTTTTCCTGACTTTTGTATCAAGATTTCTCATTTCCAGATAGTGTGTCTTTAATACTTCATTCTTTTCTCTTTTAAACAGAGAGAAAACACAAACTATCTAACTAGAATGCAGTAACATTGATGGTTTACGTAGTTATCTTCTATTCATGGCAAGCAAACTTTTAAATTTGTGGTAATGATACTAGGTTTCTGTATAAAATAAATGTTTTCAGTTAAGATTTAGTTTATGAAAATTCTGTAGTGGTTTATAAATATGGTGATTTAAGTAAATCTATTGATCACTGATATATTTTCTATCATTGTAGATTAAATTTTTTTTTCTTTTAGAGTTTCACATGAAAGGAGTCATTATGGAACACATTTAGGGGGTTTGACTTCCTTCACTCTACATAGTGTTTTCAAAATTAATCCATGTTGGTTGTATTAGTAGCTTTTTTATTTTTTAAATTCTCAGTAATTACCAATTATATGTACAGAATAATTTTTTAAAGTCCATTCATGTGTTGGTGAGTACTCAGGTTGTTTCCACTTGCAAACTGTTATTAACAAAGCTGTTATGRACATTCATTTACAAGGCTTTGGAGAATGTTTTCATTTCTCTTGGAAAATAACCTGAGTAGAATTGTGGCATCATATGGAAAGTGTATGTTTAACTTCATAAATATAACCTCATAAATAATTTTCAAATTGCTTGTATATCCCCAATAGAAATGTACGATAGCTTCAGTTAGGTCCATACTCTTGCTAACACTTGGTATAATCTGTTCTTTTGATATTAGCCATTCATGTGGTTGTCTAGTCGTATTTTATTTTGGTTTTCATTCATGTTTTTCTGATGAATAATGATGTTAAATTATTTTTATGGGCATATAAGTCATTTCTGTATCTTCCTTTATGAACTATCTATTCAAGTGCCTATTGAAATTGGGTTATTTATCTTCCTATGGTTGAATCATATGAACTTGATATATATTCTCATACAAGTTATCATCATATACATTTATTGTTAATWTTTTCTCCCACTCTGTGAATTGCCATTTTATTATTTTTTTTCATTGAATTTTCCACACTTTGGGATGCTATTGTGAATGGTATTTTTAATATCTTAATTTCAAAATGTTAATTGCTGCTATATTAAATAATTAATTTTGTATATTGACCATATATCCTGCAAGATTGAGAAAATAAATTAGTTCTAATAGATTTTGTTTTAAAGATTCTTTGATATTTTCTAAATATGCAATCATCTTATCTGGGAACACAGGTTGTCTTTGATCTCCATTCTGGTCTGTATTCATTTTGCTCATATTTCTTGCCTTTTTTGCATTGCCTGAGACCTCCAATATAATGATCAATAGGGGTGATGAGAGTTAAGGTTCTTACCTTTTTCTGGTCCTATGAAGAATGCATCAGTCTCTTCTATAGAGTGTTGATGCCTATTATCAATTGAGGGAATTTGATGTTATTTCTAAGTTGGTRAAGTTTTTCTTAAATCTTGAATGGAGATTAAATTTTTTCAAGCATATTTACAAATTTATTGAGGTTTACTATGTTGTTTCTTCAGTATGTTGATGTTATGGATTACATTAATTGAGTAGGAAACATTTTCTACAATAAGGATGATATTGTCCAGCCACTAATTAATGTCTACAAGAAAATGCTACATGATATTTCATTGAACTCAAGTGTTTTGACTTAAAGTAAGAATTTGTATGTTTAATGACATTTTTTGGTAAAYTGACATTAAACTACAAGGAGAGCATGTGCTCAATGCAGTCATCCCGTGTGGGACTGTTCTCTCTTTGAGGCAGAGCTGGATGGTTATTAGCTGTATTAGGAATAGCAGCTGTTTGAAGAAGAGTTGGGAACCTCCAKGCGGAGCACCCACACAATCAGTGCCAACAGCTCCACAGTTTCCACRTCATCAGAGAGAGCAATTGATATCTACCCTGCTCTGCCTAGTAGGGATCTGTCAAATTCAGATGTGATCACCTATATGTGAAATATGGAAGAGAACTCCAAAAAACAAATTGTGTGATATTTCTGCAGTACTTGAGAGTCAGCATCATGTTCATGGGCAAATCAGTAAAAGAAAAAGGTGGGGTGGTGATCAGAAGAAGTTGAGCAAAATCTGGGGCGTCCCTTTGTGGCTCCAGCTGAAAGCCAAGTGGGTCCTTGCCCCCCTGGCTCTTTCATCCATCTCCCCAGACCATGGGGTCATTTCTAAATAACCAATTTGATATAAATGCAGTCTCTCAGCTTGGCATGTTTTAGCTCTTCTGTCCTTAGATGCTTTTTGCAATGATCCTTGCCTTGTTTCTTTGTGACAAAATTTCTACCTTAAATACAGCTCATGTTTCTCCCACCCCAAACCTTTGTTGCTTGTACGGTAGTAACTCAGCAATTGAGGAACTGCTGGCACTTGCCCTTGCCCTCTTGAAAATCCTCTTGAGTATTTGATGCTAATTCACAAAACCTTAGTGGCTTTCATACAGGTTTTGATTATGACACATAGAAAGAAATGCATTCTACTTAATTTTCCCCCACCTGACGCGTACAATGAAACAAGATTTTCACAATGCATACTCACCTTTAAAATGTGTGAGGTGCTTTGATTCTTGCTATTTCATTAAATAAAAATGCTAGTCAGATCCCACTAATAGGTTTGTTCACAGTTCAAGAAACAGTACTTTAATTGATATTTAAAATGTAGTAGTTTTAATTGGAGTAAGCACATTTATTACTTTAATTCACTAGTATTAAAAAAAACTATTTGAAATTTTGTTATGATTTTAATTTCACACGTTTTCTTTTTAAATGACCTTTAAAAACTTCTTACTATTCATTTTAAATATAAAAATGGATTAAATTTAAGTCAAATTAATTCAGATTATTATGAGTAATATTTAATTCAGATCACAATGAATTCATTCATTTGCCCTTAAAAAATATCTTCTTGTTTGATACTACACATGGGTTTAATTTTTTAGGAGTTAATCATTTTATTTAATAGAAGTAATTTTATGTTTTGGCAGAAATATACTATTAGAAAATTTGCCTCTTCCCTGAACTTTTGATGTCAATAAAGAAATGATCTTCTAAGTTCAACTGCTTATCACCAATAGAGTTTCTTTTTACATTAAAACAGTCCTTTATTTGACTGGTAATTAAAGTTTATGTCTAYAAACAACAAATATACTATTATTTCCATAAAACAAATATGGTACTGAATATTTTAAAATTAAATATAGACTATGCAAATCAGTTAAACAAGAGAAACTTCTATGTTTCCTGGAGCTTACCATAATTTCCTCTCCATTTTTATTTTAAGACAGATAAGAGCTTTCTTCAATTCTATCAGTGCTATTTCATTAAATAGAAATGCTTTTATTTAACCATCCTTATCTCCTGACTTTGTCAACCATTCACTTGGCTCCAGGATCTGGCAGATACCTCCAGGGCAAATGGCATCCATGCTCATGCCCTCTCAGGATGCTTCACTGTGA